TTGTACAATTAGAAGATACTTATCACTGTGGAAACAGTCTGGCTTAGTTCCTTGAGGAATTCTAAACATAATGTGCATGAAAATGTAATATATTTGAAGTACTTCCTTAAGACCGTTAACACTGCCTAACTTCATACTTTTCAGGGCCTCAGCGTGATGCACAAGCTGCAAGGGAGTTCATTTTGAAAATGTTCGTGGACCTGAATCCTGACAGTGACAAAATTATCTACTCGCACTTCACATGTGCCACAGACACAGAGAATATACGGTTCGTCTTTGCTGCTGTCAAGGACACTATCCTACAGTTGAACCTGAAGGAGTATAATCTGGTCTGAGTGCTCAGACGAGACTGGGAGACTGAAGAGAATATGAAAGTGTGACTGTATTATCTGTGAAAAAAACAATGACAAATAATTGCATAATACTAATTTATTGCGTCTTGGACTCTGTTTTCACAGAGTTTATAGTAAATATTATGATTTTATTTAAAAGGAAAAATAATTGGGGGTTGGAAAATGCTGTTGAACATTTGCAGCACAATTCCTAATTTTTAGGCAGAACCTTGTGAACTTAATGTTTTTTTAAATCTCATTTGTGCACTCAAAAGGGTAGGGGGATTTGATTTTTGCTTCAGAAGCAAATCACGACTTGTAACCACCTTCCAGTTTTCTTTGAGGGTACAATGGCCTTTTATTCTGATCCATTCCTTAGTAACTCTGTATTCTGCAGTGATAACCGTAAAGTTCTTTGTTTAATAGAAGTTAAGCCATCTGTTCTTCTAATTTATGTACTTTTTTCTGAAGGATGAAAAGTATTGATACTGTGATTTTTAAATTATTGATCTGTATAAATTATTACATCCAGTTAGGTACTATCTTCATCTTGGGCTGCAAAGGAAAAAAAAAACGAAAAAATTAGGAGCTCGTCAAGTAATAGGAAGAATTCTTCATAAATGCTACCTGGTTATCCAGAAACACAGATAGACGTAGGCAAGGATAGTTCCTTTGGATAAAAGTTATATTTATGGAGTGGTGCTTGCCATTCTCAGTACTCTGTGCCACATTTGCTTTCTAGTATCGTTTTTATTGCAGATGCCAAACAGAAATGCCATGGACACTACATCTTTCCCACACTGCTAAAATCTAAAAGCTACTTTTTTAAAAAAAAAGCTGTATCTGGAAGCAACTATTTTCGTGCTTCTACTTTAACCTTTTAAATTAATTTTTATTGTGTACAGTTTTATGTCTCCAACCATGTTGGGTCTATCTTGATTTCTTGTTTTCCTTAAAAGTGTTTTTATTTTCTAAAATGCCAAAACCACTGTTTGGGAACTGACTTGATGAGACCCTGAATGCCAAGCCTATGTTTAACTTTGTGGCATCAGCTCATAGGGTTTGTTTAGAAAGTGTTGTATAGTTAATGCCAAATAAAGCAAACTGATAAATATATAACATTTGGGTGCTCTTTGCACAGTGTAATATTTTCTGATTATTTCTAATAATCCTATAGAACACTTTTGATGTCTGTGTGTGGTTGGTTGTATTATGTTGGCACCTTTTAATATAGGATTTAAGATATTTATGCAATTGTACTGGCATAAAATAAAGATTGTTTATGATGCAGTTGCTGTTTGACACTGCCCAGGTGAAGTAAAAGTACATTTTTGTGTGAAACACAACATTAATGCAGCTCAGTTGTAAGCAAAATCTCCTTTTTTAAAGAAATGGCATTTAAGATGTGGGATTTGGTGGGGTTTTATTTGACTTGAAAAGACAGTTTGTTTGTTTGAAACAGATTTGAGGGCTATGAGTTGGGAGTACAGCTTCTAACAGAAGATTTTTTTATAATTAGTATTTACTTCTCAGGCCAGTCAGAATTGCATCTGAGTTTACAAATGTTGTTCTGCTTCAGAGGAGTAAAGCAAAGTGTATTTATTGTGTACCAAAGTTAGTAGTCATCTCTAATTGGCTTTTATTATCCTGCCCCCATTTATTTCTTTTTTGTTAGTCCCTTAATTTTAATTTTATTGAACCTGGTTGTAGGTATAGTGCAAATATGAATGCTATAATCATTGTACATACATCTCTCTATATATATATATGGCAGCATCCATATTGGCTTTGTAATCATTAATTTTTGGCAGACTGAATGTGCTGTATTGAAAATATGTATCTATGTAATTGTATTGTATGTCTTATAGCTAAATCACATTTTGAATGATGTTATTTTACTTTTTTAAGAGAGGAGAATGTACATTTTGCCAGTTCATTTCTCAGCTAGGAATATTTTTTTCTTTGATTTAAAACCTTAAAAGAAAAATATTGCTATGATACAGAGCAGTATGCCAATAATTACAGTAGCTGTTGGACATTTTGTTAATCTTTGTGTGAAAAGTGACCCAGAATGAATTGCACGGCGAATCATATTTGTTGGGACAAGAAACTGGTTCCACAAATAGAGCACTTGCCATAAGATAAACATTATCTGAATATGTTCCTTAACTCTTAACTACACTTCAGATTTTACTTTGCAGTAATAGTAGGTGATTTGGTTCCAGTTGACAGCCATCCATTAAATGTGCTTGGATGTGTGTGTATTTACATACAGTATTCTGTTTTGCTCCAGACAGTTCTGAAGAGAATTCCTTTGGTAATTAAACATTGCCATTAGGTTGGCTTTTGCCAGAAAAAAAGGTGATCAGCTATTTAGCAAGAAAGGTAACGAAGTTCTTTGTTTCTGGTAACTGGGTGGACTTCTTAAATCAAGAGAAATACAGTTGAGTAACTGTCAGCTACAGTAGGTCCATATGCACTGTGTGAAGGCAAGAGTTTTGGTCTAAACTGTGCATACCAGGAATCACCACATTTATACCTGGCTTACACA